AATGATGTGAGCCACGAGGTGACCAAATGATCTCACATCTCACAGCAAAGAGCAAATCACTGTGAAGTGAAATTAAACTTATTGGGGTATGTCCTGGTCAACAATCCCCCAAAACTGGTCACTCACTTCATGGCTGTTTGGCTGAAAATCATTTATCTTCCTTTTTGCTTCATTCTCCTGCCTTTTTGGCTGTTAAGCGCTCCGAGCTACTGCCCCGAGTGAAGGGCACCATATAAATGCTATTTCCTTTTGTCGTTGTTTGTGGGACATTGCTGCGGTACAATTGGCTGCTGCGTTTTGCCAACAAAATACACAGTCACTACACTTCACAGTAAAATCCCATGGAGCGTTTGAGACGTCCTGCCAACCTGATGAGGCATTAGGCCAAAATTGGAAGATTATTATATTGTAACATCATAATGATAATAATAATCCTTGCGTTTGATACAGCGCCTTATCACGTCTGCGACACGTCTCAAAGCGCTTCACAAAATATACTGTAAAATGGATTGACTGCGTATTTTGTGGTTGTAACGCGGAAGCCAATTAAAATTGCACGCAGCAGTGTCCACAAACAGTCGAGGATTGAGTGACGTATTATTATTTTTTAAAATTTTATTTTTTAAGGGATTATTACCCCCAGAAAGCAATCCGCCAATTGACTAACAACCGGGCTCCTACTTACTGCTGATAACTTGAAGATTTTCAGACAAAACCAAACGCCTTTAGTCTATTTATTACCTTTGCCATTGACGCTGTATGTGCGCCCACATTTGGCACCACATCAGCACCAAACTGTTACAGCAAACAAGACGAGGGCAGCATCGAGGCCGCCTTGGAAAGGTTGCGAGTGTTTGTTCAATACTGGGATACATCAGTTTTATGGAGAGAAATTCGACTCAGTCTCGATTTACTGATTTATGTGGCATTTTAGCATCTCCAGCATTTGGCAAACTCTTACACACAGCCTTAATTTTGAAGCTGATTAAATGTACGTTGCCTTGAAAACTACGGAAAACAGACTCCAAAGTTCAGAGGAAATTCGACAACTTGCCAAATTTTGCACACTCTAAAGCTGGCACATAAATAAAATCAACCCAGACCCAGGTGGAAATTCTCCCAAGCAGTGAGTTGGCAACAGTGTGGACATGTGTGTGTGTGTGTGGGGGGGGTGGGGGTACCTGTGACCTGCATGATCTCTGCAGTGATCAGTGCACTCAGTATATCATAATAATAATCCTGGCAATTGATACAACGCCCTGTCATATCATCGAGGTTTCTTGAAGCACTTCACAGGATTTTACTATAATGTGCAGTGACTGTGTATTTGTAGGTGAACGAGGCACAGCAACATTCCACAAACAGCCATTGAGTGAGTGACCAGCTTTATTTAGGGGATTGTTGGCCAGGACACCGAGAGAGAGAAACTCCCTTCTCTTTTTTTAAGTAGTGCCATGGGATCTTTATTGTCCACCTGAACAGGCAGACAAGGAGCTCGGTTTAACGAAGGATGACAGAGCTGGCAATGCGGTGCATGGTGGCACGTTGCTGAGCAAAGTTGTTGTCGCATTCACCTACACATACACAGTCACTACATTTACAGAAAATCGAGTGAAGCGATTTGAGACATCGAGAGGCGTCGTGAGAGGCGCTATATCAAATGCAAGGATTATTATTATTATTAAAGGCAAGGATTACTATTAATGCTGTCCAATATTGCTGCTCGGTGCCGGGGAAGGGTAATAACAGGTGACTATCAGGAGGTGAGTAACTGCGGCCAGACTCCTATCTAGCACTGGCAGCGGCAAACATCACGTCACCGCCAACTGCAGACAATGTCTCGGCTGCAGGAAAGATTATCTGAAAAATATAGTCAAAATAATGGGCTTGCCGGATCAGGGGAATGATTCACTGAGACATTTATAAAACCACAGTGTCTAATGTTGTAATTAAACACTATCATCAGAGGGGGATTTGTCACCGCCCTCTGCTCCCTCCCGGAGGCAGGGCTGGTTAGCAGGTTACCAGCCTCACTGTTCAGACTTGCTCGCACACAACGAGCTGTGTGTTTCCATATTCTTAATACACGATCATTACACATGGTCTAATCACTGACCTTATCCCGGCCCAATCACACGAACAACATCTGTGGCTCAGACAGAAAGGAACTTACTCTCTCCACATTGTGTAGAGACAATGGTACAAACAAACACTTACACACACCCACACACATACACACATGGGTACACACACACACACACACACACGTAAACACAAGCATATACAGTTCATACACACACACGCACACACATGCAAATGCATAGGATTGCTATGGGGAATGAGACTCTTGGCTGATCTCCCCCTCCCTATCCCGGGAACGCTGAGGCCAAGAGCAGCACCTGAATTGCCCTGATTGAGTGCAGTAACCCGGCACACACAGGGTTAAACCTGGGAGCTGCTGCTGTGTTTCGGAGATCCTTTGGGGAAAGTACCACTGCTGTCTCTGCCTCACTTGCCAGCACCACAGTTACTGGTTAATCCAATTGCTGTGAATGAAGCGTTCCTGATCCAGAGTTAAGCTACGATCAGGGATGGTATTGGCAGGTCTGCTCCACACCAGCAGGAAGCCGGGTCAGACGCCAAGTATACACTTGGGAACATTAAAAAGGCAACAAAAACTGATGATAAACAGACACCTTTGGTGAATCAATAGACATGTATGAAGGAGAGTTGGACGGATACTTGGGTAATAATAATAATAATAATCCTTGCATTTGATGTTGTCAAGACGTCTCAAAGCGCTTTGTAAGATATATCCTATGTGGTTTTAGCTGGTTACACTCCAGCAGTTACCCCAATGCACACTAAGGGGTTCCCAAGCCTTGGCTTTCGCCAACCATCGCTAATAATCTCTGGAATTAGGTAAACAGGGTCTGTCCCTTCAGGGAGAGAGTGCACATTCCATTCAAGATTGAGGGAAATCTACAAGCGTAGGTGGCAGACCTATGTCTCTCTTTGACCGAGCCTTCAGCTCCCCTCTCGACTCTCTTCCCCCTTCTCGCTCCCTCCCTTCCCTCCCCTCACCCTGACCATTTCCCCCCTCCTCGCTCCCTCCCATCCCTCCCCTCACCCTGACCATTTCCCCCCTGCTCGGGTCATGACCCAACTGTGCAGCGCCTTGGGATGTCCTCCTGACATGAAAGGCGCTTTATAAATGGAATCTTGTTGTTGTTGTTGTTGTATGTGGATTTCTCAGTCTGCTTTGGATGCTCTTAAGTATTGTGATTGGTTTCTACATGTGTCAGAGTCCGGCCGATAGTAAAAAATACATTAGAATATACAGCACAGAAACAGGCCATTCGGCTCAGCTGGTCTATGCCGGTGTTTATATGTTCCACATGAGCCTCCTCCTGCCCTTCCTCAACTAAACCTTCAAGCATAACCTTCTATTCCTTTCTCCCTCATGTACCTCTCGAGCTTTCCCTTAAATACATCTATGCTATTTACCTCAAAAACTCCTTGTGGTAACGTGTTCCATATTTCCACTACTCTCTGTGTGAAGAAATTTCTTCTAACTTCCCTATTTGATCTATTTGTGACTGTTTTATATTGATATCCCCTGGTTTTGGTCTCTCCCACAAGTGGAAACATCTTCCCTATGTCTATCCTATCAAAACCTTTCATCATTTTAAACACCTCTATCAGGTCACCCCTTACCCTCTGCTTTTCAAGAGAAGAGTCCAAGTATGTTCAGCCTTTCCTGATAGGTATAACCTCTCAGTTCTGGGATCATCTTTGTGAATCTCCTTCGACCCTCTCCACATCCCTTCTATAATGTGGGGACCAGAACTGCACACAGTATTCTTTGTGTGGTCTAACTATAGAGGTTTACCATAACTTCTCTGCTTATCATTTCTATCCCTCTAGAAATGAACCCAATGCCTGGTTTGCTTTTTTTTATTGTCTTATTAACCAGTGTTGCTACTTTTAGTGATGGATTGAGTTTCCTCTAAAATGCAACACAGTGTAGTACATCTCAATGTAGTAGTGTAAGCCAGGACACGTACAGTAGTGCGAACCAGTGCACATAATCAATACAGAATATAACAGCCCAGTGCTGTCTAATACATATAGTGCAGGTCAATTCAGTGTAATACCGTACAGTAATATTGAGCTGCACTAGTGGCCTGGCCTGTAATGTTCTGGCAGTACTGTCCATTACTACCCATAATATTATCAATAATAGTATTTGTGTACTCTACATGACTGCACAGTACATACAGCGCAAACCACTGCACACACATGCCGCACAGCTGAGAGCTGCGGGGCGGAGGGACTTTACAACATGTCATTTCCTGGTTGCTATGGTGAAATGCTGCTTTACTTTCAAAATTGTCTGCGGGAAAATCCAACGCCTCCTTCCTGGTTTAGTACAGTGTTTCTCTCTGTCCTGGGCTGTCACACACTGGCCACTGTGGCTCTGACCAAGTTAGGTTAGGTGCCAGCTGTGGCTCAGTTGTTTTTATGATAATAATAATAATCCTCGCATTTGATATAGCGCTTTTCACATCTTCTCGACGTCTCAAAGCGCTTCACAGAATAGACTGCAAAGTGAATTGACCGTATATTTGTGGGCGAAACACGGGAGCCGATTGCGCACATCAGTGTCCTACACACAGTCGTGGATTGAAAATGACCAATTTATTATTGATTTTTTTCTTGAGGGATTATTATTAGGCTCTGTGTGGAGTAAGGAAACTTGCCCAAGGTTTCGCCCTGCCGGAAATCAAACCAGGTGTCTCGCTTGCAAAGCGAGTGCTCTAACCACTGAGCTACAGGACTCCGCATTTTACAATAAAGGTTTGTAAAAGAGCGAAAGAGGCGGGACTGCAGGCAGTTCCTGTTTACTTTCAATATTAGAAACTGTCACAAACTGCACAATTCAGCAACTTCCTGAGGTTTAAACGGCTGACTGACACTGACACACCCTCAGTGCTGACACTGACGCACCAGTCAGCCAAGCATTCTAGCACTGGATGTATTGCCCTGCACTGGGCATAGAGTGACCATAGAGTATGTAATATAATTATATTTGGCAAGACAACTCTCCTGGCTCACTCAGGAGCCCCCACCGCTCCTGATACACAGGAATCCTTGGATCTGATGATGCGCAGGAAATAACACAGTTTCAGTTTGCAATTCCAGGCGAGAACCAAGGAACAGAGTGAGCAGTGATCAGGTAAGGCACAGGGGCTAAGACTGCCTGGAATTACGTTAACACTCACCTCTTCTTTAGTGCTCCAGGACGCTACCTCGCGCAAGGGGCACTCTACAAATGCAACTAATTGTTCTTCTTTAGCATTTTATGCCCTAAAAATAGCTTTTCACAGCAGTCCTGCCTCTTCTGACAGTGGAGTGAATGGTAAACAACACAGGTTCTGGGTGATTTGCTAACCATTTTTGACTGGACACTCGAGGGAAGCCTTAAAAGGTTAAAGCCATGTGATTATTGGACATCTGGCTAACTGGTTGACATTGTGATTATTAGCTGATAGCTTTAAACCTGCAAAATGGAAGTAATCGATGTTGCAGCTTTTCGGACATGAACATTTTTATTCAATTATGCTTTTATATGTATGAAATCAACAAGTATAATTAATAAGTTGATTGCAGATCATGGAGTGTTGTGGCTGATGGACTGACTCTACTGTTTGGGTTCCTTTAACGCAGTTACTCTGTGGTTGAGAGACCAGCACGCACTATACTGTCAGGTAGTCAGGGTGTGGGGTGCAGTGGTGATAATAATAATCCTTGCATTTGATAGCGCCTTATCATGTCGTTGAAGTGTCTCAAAGCGCTTCACGGAATATTTTGCAAAGTGGAGTGACTGTGTATTTTGCGGGTGAAACATGGCAGCCAATTGCACACGGCTTTTTGTATCTCTAATATACACAAGTTGTCATGTGTCAACCTGGTAGCACTTTCGCCTCTGACTCAGAAGGTTGTGGGTTCAAGTCCCCGCGTCAGGACTTGGAATCACATAGGGTAGGCTGACACTCCAATGCAGTGCTGGAGGTCCTGTCTGCCTGTTCAGCTGGATGTTAAAGATCCCATGGCACTATTGAAAAAGAGAGGGAGTGTCTCTCTCCAGGTGTCCTGATCAACAATCCCCCAAATAAAATTGGTCACTCACTCCATGGCTGTTTGTGGGACATTGCTGTGCACTACTGCCTACCTCATTTCGCCCACAAAATACAAAGTCAGTCCAATTTACGGTATATTCTGTGAAACATTTTGAGAGGTTTCGAAAACATGATAAGGATCTATATCAAATGCAAGGATTATATTATAATTATACATATCCTGTGAAGCGCTTTGAGACATGTCAATGATACGATAAGGTGCTATATCAAATGCCAGGATTATTAAGTTCAGAAACGTTAGAGCTACATTGCCCGTAACTCTGTCTGTCCAGCACTTTGGGACGTCCTCCTGACGTGAAAGGCGCTATCCAAATGTAATTTTGTTGCTGTTGTTGTTGATGATGGAGCGCTGCATTGTCAGAAGCGTCTTCTGGTGAGTCGTTAAACCAAGGCCCAATCTGTTGAGACGTCTCAAAGAGCTTCAGAGGATAAACTCCCCTCTCCCCCCTCCAGCACTGCATTGGAGTGTCAACTTCGACTATGTGATTCAAGTCCCAACGTGGGGCTTGAACCTTTGACTCAGTGGCAAGAGTGTTATCACTACGCCAGGCTGACACACAAGGTGGGGAGAGAGGGGGGTGCGTTGGAGGAACTCTGGGATGGATTTCCAGAGAGCGGGGGGCAGAATGGCTGAAAGCATGGTGCTGTATCAAATGTAAAGATTGCTATTATTATTTGCAGTGTTTTTGTGACTCTAGCCTACGCACTCTCACCTCTGCCTCAGAAGGTCGTCACATCCCACCACTTTAATAATGAATAGTAATTTGCATTTGATGTAGCACCTTATCATGTCTTCGAGACGTCTCAAAGCGTCTCAAAAATATACTGTGAAGTCAATTGACTGTATATTTGTGCACGAAACGTGGTAGCCAATTGCGCACGGCAGCGTCCTAAACTTTCAGGTTTAAGCTCACATTCCAGGCTGACGCTGCAGAGCAGTGCTGGGGGGGGGAGCATTGTGGCTGGTCAGGAGGTGCCTTCCTTCAGATGAGATGTTCTGCCTATTCAAAGATCCTGTGACACCGTTTGAAAAGAGAAGGGAGTTTCTCTCTGTGTCGTTGGCCCCATGACAGTGTGGGACCTGGCTGTGTGCAAAAGCATTGGTGTGGTTATCAATCGAACAGTCACTACACTCAGCAGTAATCACTGCAAAGCACTTTCAGACGATTAAATTCGATAAAGTGAAGTGCTTATAAAAATACAAATTGGTCCTTACTCTCGTGAGATGAAACCTCAGCAGTGAATTTGCTGCTGTCCAGTTTGATAAACTAATGGGGACCAAAGGCATAGCCTTTTGTTTGCTGACTGAGATCTAATACTGTGGCACAGCTCTAAAAGGTGTCTCTCCCCCCCCCTCAGGTTTATTACCGAAGCTGGAAATGGACAAAATGCCGAACAGTGAGGACAGGCCGCCTGCAGTCAGGGGCAGTGAGACTGAGCGAGCAGAGGGCAGTGGGTCTGTGCTCAATGAAGTCAGCACGGCTGGAGGCCAGGGCAGCAGCGACATGCCTGCTCTCCGCAAACCAGATGTTCCCAGCTGTAAGTAGCAATTTACCAGGCGGGACCTGTCGGGCTTCGCACACCACATCCGACCTGCACAAGTGATAGTTAGAGGCTAGACCATCTCCTGCTGGCTGGCAGCTATGCCGTTATTAACCCAACAGGGAAGTCGGTGGCAGTGCAGAATGCCGTTATCACTCACCCAGCAGCAGCCCTCACTGTCCTCACCAGACACACACTGTGCCTTTGCTTCCATTCATAGTTCCACAACAGCTTAAAGCTTTAATTCTAAACGCACAGATCAGAATAATCCAAAAATCACTGACATTAAAATCCCCGCTTAATTTTCATCCATTTTAAGTAAAACCTGTTATTCACCTCTCGCTGATCCACACTGGGACACTGTGGACGCAAGATTGAGCCCCTCCAATTAGTAAGAGCTAAATAATCAAAAGGCAACAGCTTTTTCACTCGTAGGGCCAGAAATCAGCAGCTTAAAGGAAAGCTTTCAGACTGTCAGAGGTTTAAAACTTCCGTCACGGTAACAAAGCTACTCACAGCACATATGAAAGGAAAGACTTCTAAATGTGATTAATTTCACAAGTATGGAAAACACCACAAATTAACCAAAGGCCAGCAATTTCCAGCAAAGACTCTGATTATTTGTTTCAACCTCCATCTGCCAGGGGCCTGGGGACATACCAGCCCCCAGCGTTGCAGGCCTGGATGCTTTGAGGTTTGCAGTGGGTGTGGATGGCAGGCCTGGGGGGCTGTTCACTTCTGGCAATTAGGCAAGGGGCTGCTGCAGATATTCATTTAGCTTTTTCTCAGAGAATTGGGCCGGTAATTGGAACATCATCAGACACCTCGTGGTCAGACAGCAGCTCGTCAGCAAGAGACTAAAGCCCCCCGAATTCCACCTAATCTCAGCCTGTGAGACCATTTGTGCTGGGGGAGCACTGCATTGTCGCCCACCTTTGGATGAGACGTTAAACCGAGGTCCCATCTGCCTGTTCGGGTGGTTGTTAAAAATCCCGTGGCGCTATCTGAAAACAAACGGTGTTTCTCTCTCCTCGTGTCCTGGCCAACAAGCCCCCAAGTAAAACTGGTCACTCACTCCATGGCTGTTTGTGGTACACTGCTGTGCGCAAATTAGTCTCTGGGTTCACCAACAAATAACCCATCACTATGCTTTACAGTAAATCCTGTGAAGCAACTTGAGACGTCTTGACGACATGATAGTTCTCTATATCGAATGCAGATATTATTATTATTTGCTCTTAAAATTTAAGATTACACATTTGTTTTGGATCAGTGCGTGTTTCTCACACTCAGACACCCATCACTGTGGTCAACCAGTGATTGACACGTGCAGAAACCCATCACCGTGCTTAAGAGTATCCAAACTAGACTGAGAGTTCCACGTCTGCCACCTGCACATGGAGGAGAATGCGTACTCTCTCCCTGGAGGGAGGCACCTGGGCTTCCTGGATCCTGGAGAGTATTAGACGCAGAATACTGCAGATGCTGGAAATTTCAAAACAAAGACAGAAGTCGCTGGGAACACCCAGCAGGTCAGGCAGCATCTATGGAGAAAGGAAAGTGAGTCAGTGTTTCGGGTCCACGATCCTGTTCTGATGAACTGTTCTGATCTACCCACCGAGCCTGCTCCACCAAACAATCAGATCTTGGCAGCTCTGACAGTGTAATATTAGACGTGTATTTCTTGTTTTTCGACCTTGCTCAATGATCCTCACCGGCAGGTATTCGCTTTGCGAGGTAGACACAATGAACAGGTACAGAAGAGACTTCAGATTAAGGTCTTATCTGAAGCACATCATCCCTGACTCTCTACCCCCCTCCCCAGAGAAAGAGTCGCCTCCACAAGGCTTAGACCGCAATCTCTGACCTAGAGACGAGAGTGCGACCAGGCTAAGCCAGGCTGACCCAGGGGCTGGGATCAAACCTTGGTGCCGAGCTCTCAACCCCCAAAACTATACCTATTATGATTGTAGGAGCCAAGCAACCCGGCAGAGGCCCAACCTGACACTGAGCTGTGCATTCCCCACAGCCACTGTCTGGACACCTCAGACCAGATGCAGGACGACTCTCACAGATTACAGTGTTAGTTGTACTCGATTACAGTCAATGTTCGGGGTGGGTGGGGGGAGGGGGCGGTGTGGGAGCTGCACTTTAGCTACCATCACCTGGCTGCCTGAACCGATGTGAAAAGGATCCTTAGTGTCTTGGAATGAAGTTAGTTACTGTTTGTAAAGTCACAGAGGCAGCTCCAGACACACACCTCCTGCTCATTACACATGAGATCCAGCAACACAGGCAACAATCACAGCCCTCGTTTATCTGCGTGTTCCACAGCTGCGTGTTCCTCAGTGAACACTCGCCTCGTAAGCGAGAGACCTGGGTTTGATTCCCATCAGGGCAAAACCTTGGGCAAGTTTCCTTACTACACACGCCTCATAATAACCCCTCAAGGAAAAAAACAGCGCTTTGAGACGTCTGGAAGACGTGAAAACTTCTATATCAAAATGCAACGATAAGGATTGATGTTCATCTATCAGTGGTTATAGTGTGCTCACTAATGTGTGTATACCCACTAACATGTATGTATACCCTCTAACATGTGTATACCAACTAACATGTGTACATACTCTCTAACATGTGTGTATACCCACAAACTTGTGTGTGTATGCACTACCACAGCATTTTTACACATATCCAAGTAATGCCATTAAGTCTTACATTTTGTTGCAAAACATAAATTAATTCTGAACTATTCTAAAGTGGCAAATGTGTGTTAGTGGGTACACAGATGTGCGTTAGTGGGTACACAGATGTTATTGGGTACACAGATGTGTGCGAGTGGGTGTCCAGATGTGCTGTATTAGTGTTGTATCCTCTCCACAGCCAGCCCGCCCAGACTCGTGCCCCTGACTGAGGTGATGGAGATTGCTAACGGAGTGTCCAAGATGGTTATTGCACATGAAATAGTCATCAACAGCAACTTCCAGATCCGACAGCCGGAACCTTCCGAGGACAGGTATGTACGTGACTGGGATACAGACCTTCCCCGGGGGCTTGATCGAAAAGACTTTTCTTCTTCAGTTAAACACCAGTGAAAGCTCACGTTTGGTGTTGGGCTCACTGATTCCAAATGAAATTCTTCCCAAAGTGTGCGTTGTTTCAAACCTATCCCTGGCGTTTACTCAGCACTGCACCCGCCATAGAAACATAGAAGTAGGAGTAGGCCATTCAGCCCCTCGAGCCTGTTCCGCCAATCTATAAGATCATGGCTGATATGTACCTCAAGTCCAATTACCCGCCCCTGTCCCGTATCCCTTGATGCCCTGACCTAACAAACAGGGGTTCATCTTCCACGGGGTTCGATTTGAAGTTTGCCTTTGGGCCTTTCTTTCCTCTTTAGGGCCTCAGTGATGACTTGCCCTGTGCCTCAGGTTTCTCGATGACAAAATATCTGTCACCAATCCTAGAAGTAATAATCCTTACATATATATGGTACAGCGCCTTTCACGTCAGCGGGACGTCCCAAAGCGCTTCACAGGATATGCAGAGAGTGTGCGTTTCGTGAGCGAAAGTTCTTTATGACGGGAACACACCCGCTCGTGTTCTTGGTGCAGCCCGGATGGCGGAGGCCCTACTGGCTGCCCCGGGATGTGTTTTGGGAGACGTTTACAGGCGCCAACCAGCAGCTCTGCCCCGAGCAATGATGTTCTCTCCTCTCCTCCTCGCCTGGGGTCTATTTCCTGTCTCTATCGGTCCTCACTCTGTCTATTCAACATCTGTCCATCTCTTGCCCAGTTTGGAGAGCAGAGTGAAGGAGGTCGTCCATAAAGCCTTCTGGGACAGTTTGCAGTCACAGCTGAGCAAGACACCGCCGCAGTACACACACGCCATCAAACTCCTCCAGGAGGTCAAAGAGGTGAGAACCAGCCCAGTCCGACACCGGCTCACAACACACAGTGACAGCTTTAAGGCCTGTTAAATGAATTGGCTCAGTCCACAGCGAGGTATTTGGGATTCTGAAAACAAAAACAGAAATCGCTGGGAACACTCAGCAGGTCAGGCAGCATCTATGGAGAAAGGAAAGCGAGTCAACATTTTGGGTCCACGACCCTTCGTCGGAACTATTCGGGATTCTATTAGTCATTGAAGAATTCTTATTGTCCGAAGTATTGGTGTTCATGCCTTGATGAGCAAAGCAAGCAGAGTGGGAGCTTTAGCGGTAAGTGTTTAATAATCTCCGCACTTGTACTGCACCCGTACCATTAAACCTTCTCCAAGCAGATAAGTCCTAGCCAGTGCAGTGACTGGATTTTGTAGGCGAACGCAGCAGCTAATTGGCTCACAGCAATGCACCTCAAACAGCCATGAAGGCAATGACAAATTTATCCAGGGGATTGTCTTACCAGGACATTGAGAGAAACTACTTTCTCTTTTCAGTTGGAATAGTGAATCTTTAACATCCAGCTGAATAGATATAGAAGATTTAAAGTCTGCTCCAAAAGTCAATACACCTGATAATGCAGAGCTCCCTCCCCCCAGCACTGCACTGGAGTATCAGCCTAGACTGTGAGCTCAGAGTCCTGACGTGGGTGGTATAAACACACAACCTTCCAGCCCAGGGACGGAAGTGTGAGTGCCTGCGCCAGGCTGACACCCGGTGCGTTTGTGTGTGTGTGTGCGTGGGGACTGCCCAGGGTGTGTTAAGACTGAGGTGGATAAATATTTTGTTAGGTCAGGGGTCAAGGGATATGGGGCAAGGGCCGGTAATTGGAGTTGAGGTACAGATCAGCCATGATCTTATAAAATGGTGGAACAGGCTCGAGGGGCTGAACGGCCTACACCTACCTCAGGCCTGAAAGATATTTTAAAAGTTACTTTTGACAAACAGGCTTCTTAACCTCCCCACCTCCCGAGCATTAACCGTTCAATTTCTTGTCAACCATTACACCAGAGGAGATTAATGCAGGAAAATGATACAGAGGGTGTGTGCTCAGGTGGCATGATGACGATCTTTAAGATGTGAGTCACAAAGGTTCAAACGTGCTGAAATCAAAGAGAAATAATGATCAGGTGAAGGAAGGGGACAGAACTATAACTGAGCCAAAAGAATTTGCAACCCAGGAGACTGCTTTGAAATTCAGAGATAAAAGAAAAGGTGGAAAGGTGCCACACGAGTGGTTCAGCTGGAACCCCTCCTGTTTCTGATTAAGGGTCACACCTGATCTGTTAGCAACATGAGGGGCCGTCCAGGTCTCTGGAGGCAAAACAAAGGAGAGCAACGAGGCTGATCCCAGTGTTGGAAGGATGAGCAATCAGGAAGGAATGGATAAGCTTGGGGTCTTCTGAGATGTCCCAGAGGGGACCTGAGAGAGAGAGAGAGAGAGAGCTCAGTAAAATAATGCCACAAAGGAATCAAACGCAAAATATTTTCATATGTGCCAAGACTGAGGAATCATAGGCACACCTACACAGACATAATTTGTGGAGTCCTGCAACTCAGTGGTCGACGCACACACCTCGCAAGTGAGAGACCTGAGTTTGATTCCCGGGCAGGACGAAACGTTAGGCAAGTTTCCTTACTCCACGCGCCTCTAGTAGAAACCCGGTTGTTAGTGGATCACTTTTCTGTGGGAAAAATCCCTCAAAAATAATAATAATAATTTGGTTACTTAATCCATGACTGTTTGTGGGACACTGCTGTGTGTAATTTGCTGCCGCATTTTGCTCACAAAATGTACAGTCAATTCACTTTACAGCATATTCTGTGAAGCGCTTTGAGACGTCTTGAAGACGTGATGAAGTGCTATATGAAATGCAAGAATTATTATTATTAATGAGAAGAAGCAAAGGGGAAATAAAGCTCTTTTTAAGACATCAGTTAACATATAAGGCTTTGGGCCTTGACTTCTGACTATTTGGCCCTGGTTATGTCTTGTAGCAGACACATGGCTGCTGAGGATCACAGACAGTGAATGGCCTGGCTACAGGGCCCAGGTCTCATAGTTGGATCTTGGAGTTCTCCGGACCATGTTGGGAAGACTTAAGCATCCAATAATGCGGTGGGGAAGGCTGGAGCTGAGCTCTCTGGCTGTTTGCTGACAGTGTGTCCTGTCTCCCACAGTCGCTGCTCTCGCTCCTGCTCCCGGCCCACACCCGCCTGCGGGCGCACATCGAGGAAGTGCTGGACATGGAGCTGATCCAGCAGCAGGCGAGGCATGGAGCCTTGAGCCTCCCCCAGCTAGCTCGCTTCATCACAGCCACCATGGCCATGCTGTGTGCTCCAGTCAGAGACCAGGATATCAACAGACTGAAAGGTCTGACCCAGCCGGTACCAATCTTCAGGTATGTGTGTGCAGTGTGGATATGTGTGGGTATGCATTTGTGTGTGTGTGTATATATATATATGTGTGTGTTTGTATCCGTGTGTTTCTATATATGTGTTTGTGTACGTGTTTGTATAATGTGTTTATGTATGTGTCTATGTATATGTGTATGTGATATGTGTAGGTTTGTGTTGTGTATATGTGTACCTGACTGTGTACATGTGTTTGTGTACGTGTTTGTATATGTCTATGTGTACATGTGTTTGTGTACACGTGTGTGTGTGTGTGTGTGGTCGACGAACCGGGATTGTATTTGCAGCCACTCCGTCCCACTCTCTGAATCAATCCCAAATTCCCTCCATCTCTCACTTTCTAATATAAACTCCAGTGATAAACTCCTCCAACGGGAACGTGGGAGGTGGGGTGGGGGGGTAGTGTACAAATCCTCAGACCCGAGGTGGGGGGGGCAGGAGTTTTGGATGAGCTCCTCCTGTTTCTGGATGTCTATGTAGCAGACTCACACTCAGACGCGGGACAAACAGTTTAGAGAAACAAAGGTGATGACATGAAACAGACCCCCGGGGGAGGGGAAGAATACGATGTGTGATAATCATACACTATCCCTCCCCTCCCCTCCCCCTCCCCATGGTATCAGAGGAAGCAAGGGGAAATTACTTGTTACTTGGTGAAATTGTGGCTTGAGGGTGTGTAATAGATGGTCTCTGGTCTGTGATGGTGTGAGGGCGTGTGACGATCTCGCTGTGTTGCTGTGCTCTCTCTCTCTCTCGCTTTCTCAGGGAGATCTTCCGCGTTCTGGATCTGATGAAGATGGACATGGCAAACTTCACCATCCGCAGCCTGAAGCCACACCTGTTGCAGCAGTCCATCCAGTACGAGCGAGGCCAATTCCAGCAATTCCTGGACAAGCAGCCCAGTAAGTGACCCTCCACCACATATATTCTCTCTCTCTCTCACACTCACTCTCTCACTCTCATACACACACCTTGAGCAGCTCGGTTGAGCCATCGGGGAGATCGGAGGAGGAGGAACGATCAGAGGAAGAGAGATCAATATCCAAAAGATATGGTGCCCAATACAAATAATGTCTTGTGCTCCTCCCCACCCCCTTCGACCCCCATCTCTCACTCGGGTGCCAAAAGTTCGCCCGACGTGAAAATTGCTATAACTGTCAATTTGTGCTGTACTGCAATAAACCACTGACTGGTGCAAGAGTGGTTTGTCCAAAACTAGGTTAATGTTGATGCTTTACAAGCATTAAAGAGCATTAAAAAGAGAAGTCGCTGGGCACACTCAGCAGGTCAGGAAGCATCTATGGGGAGAGGAACGTGAGTTAATCGACCTAACTAACTTTCCTCTCTCCATAGATGCTGCCTGACCTGTTGAGTATTCCCAGCGACTTCTGTTTTTATTTCAGATTCCCAGAATCTGCAGTATTTTGCCTTAAGAATTAAGGATTTGCCTGGCCCTGGGGATTGAAAGAACTGAACATTGAGTCCTTCCTCTCTCTCTCCTCAGACGCCTTGGACAACACGAAAACATGGCTGAAGACGGCAGCGGCAGAAACGGCCCAGTCACTCGCTGCGGGCTCTGGTGGTTACAGACCCACAGTGCTCAGCCCCACGCTGGTGCTCAACCAAGGCTACATCAACCTGCTGCAATGGGAGGCTGACAGCAACACATACCCCGAGGTAAATCCCAAGTGAATACAGCTCAGGGCGAAACGTTGGGCAATTTTCCTTACTACACACACACTTCTGTTCACCTAACAGTAAGTAGGAACCTGGTTAATAGTTCATTGGCAGATCGCTTTGCCGGGGGTGATAATCCCTTCCCAAAAAATAATGTTGATAATTTGGTCACTTCAATCCCCGACTGTTTGTGGGACGCTGCTGTGCGCAATTGGCTGTAGCATTTCATCCACAAAATATACAGTCAATTCACTTTGCAGTATGTCCTGTGAAGCACTTTGAGACGTCTCGAAGACATGATGAAGTGCTATATGAAGTGCAAGGATTATTATTATTCAGCACCTGTGACTAGGGTGGGGGGGTGAGGAGAATGGCTGCAAAACCGACAGGCAAATGAGGACCTCCTGTACGGCCCTGGATCTCACACCACTCACATCACCAGCAGTGATGTAATACACAGGATATAGGGCTTGCACAGATTTTTTTTATTTCAGTTCAAATTCAAGCCCTCATTACCTTGTTATTTTAACCATCTCCTAGTCCTTTCACCCTGGTACAAGTGTCAGCAATCTGCTCGACCAGCCGGGTGTCTGATGTATGCGGAAACCCATCACCATGTGTTAAGAGTATCCAAACCGAACTGAGCGTTCCATACATCCACCCACACATGGAAATCCCAGAGTATTAATTATTCTCCCTCTCATCAGGAAGATGGAGGAATCGATATTCTAAAATTACGCATGGAAATTCTTGCCCAAGTTGTGAATCCAAGGCTCACGTTGGGGGCTTTGACCTGACAGCCTTGGTGGACGCTCCAATGCAGTGCTGGGCAGAGGAGTGTTGCACTGTCAGAGGGACAATAGATGAGATGTAAAAGCGAGCTCCAGTTCAGCAGCCTGAAAACCCCGATTCTAATCGAAAACAGAAGGGAGTTTCCTCCCCTCGGTCTCAGCCACCAATTCCCCCAGATCATGTTCATCCTTCACTTCACGGCTGTTTGTGGGACGTGGCTGTGCGCAAATGGGCTGCCGCGTTTGTCTACAAAACAGACAGTCACTACACTTATAAACCCTGTGAAGTGTTTTGAGATGTAATGATGACTTAAATCAGGCGCTGTGTCAAATGCAAGGATGACCGTTGATAATGACTGCGACACTGAGCAAATTGTGTGTGTGTGTCGTCCCATTCCCCCACCACAGACTATGCTGATGGACAGATCTCGTCTCCAGGAGCTGCAGCAAAGACTGACTTACCTAAAGCTTGTGGCCTCCGTCCTTTTGGTGACCAGTAATGTGCTGGGCGTGCAGCCTGGGTTTGTAGATAAGTTAAAGCAGGTGACTGCTGCCCTGTTAGAGGGGTTGCATCACAGGTAAGTAAATCACACCTTCTGCACCACCGGGACATGAGAGGAGGCAGAATAACATCCACCTGGTGTAACCATTCTCTGACCTCAGTGCACACGGGGAAGGGCAGACAGGTAGTTTGGCTGGTGCCAGTGGGATTGAGGGGCAAACATTAACGACGGAGGCAGCCACAAGGGGGGCAAAAGATGCAGAATCGTCTTGGGATATATAAAGGGCAGAGAAAGGAAAGTAGGATATGGAGAAAAGACCACATTGGTAACTCGGCCAACAATCCCCTAAATAGAATTGTGCAAAATGGCGGCCACGTTCGCCTACAAAATACAGTCACTACACTTTACAGTAGATCCTGTGAAGCGCTTTGAGACGTCTCAACGACTGATAAGGCGCTGTATCAAATGCAAGGATTACTATTGACCACATTAGGAAAGTGTTAGGCTTAACCAGCACATAGCACCGAGACTCCTAATGCCGGGACCCTGACCCTGGGACCGATGGTCTGGGTAACTGAGGCCATCTTGTACGGTCTCCCTCGCGCTGCTTCAGTGCTGTTTAATTGTCTCCTCTGCTCTAACAGCCGCTCTGGCAAATCCCTTTTACTATCAATGTTTTTCAGTCCAAAGTCAACCTTTTCCCTGTTGGTAACACTATGGCTCCACCTTATGGCATTGTTGAGAACTGAGAGAAACATGGTGGAGCTAGAAATCACACTGCCTGATAATAATAATAATAATAATCCTTACATTTGATATAGCGCCTTATCACGTCTTCTCGAAGACTCAAAGAGCTTCACAGAATATACTGTAAAGTGAATTGACTGTACATTTGTGGGCAAAACGTGGCAGCCATTTGCACACAGCAGCGTCCCACAAACAGTGGATTTTGTGATCAAATTATTATTTTTTTTGAAGGGATTGTTACTCCCAGAAAAGCAATTCCTCCGTCAGACACCTGTCAGCTAACAAGCAAGTGGGATCTTGGGATTGGCACTTCATTGCTATTTGCGAGATGTGGCTGTGCGCAAATTGACTGCTGCGTTAATAATAATAATAATCCTTGTATTTGATGTATTGCGTTATAAAATCATCAAGACATCCTAAAGTGCTTCGCAGGATATACTGTAAACTGCAGTGACTGTGTATGTTGTGGGCGAATCACAGCAGCCAGTTTGCTCACAGCAATGTGCCACAAACAGCTGTGGAGTGAGTGACCAATTTTTATTTGCTGACGAAAAACATCTGTTGCAGTAAATCCTATGAAGGGCTTTGAGACATCCTCACAATGTGAAATACCTAATTATTATTATTAATATTTGTTCTTTGAGGCCTATGTTGGTTGGGGGAGAATATAACAATAATCCTTGCATTTTACATAATATCTTCTCACATTGCAGAGATGTCTCAGAGCGCTTCAAAGGATTTACTGTAGGTGGTACGTTAGTGTTGGGGGCATGGAAACTTTGACCTGAAATTCCACCCAGTCTTAGCCCGTAAACCCAACTCTTTGTCTGAAAATTGAGACAGAATTGTGGAAGACTCTTCAATGCAGTCTGATTTCTTTTTTTTAAAGAACATTTGCGTTAAAAAGGGGGTTAGCAACTTAAGAATTTTCCACAATTCTGCACATTCTGCAAGACAAAATAATGGTGTTGCCTGAGACCAGGTGGAATTTCAGGCCGGAGACCCCTGGCAGAACAGGGCCCTGAGGTACGTTGGAATGAAGATCTTTGGTCACTGCTGGGTGGGGAGGTCTCTGGGCTGGGAGTGAAAATGTCCCAGGAGATGTAAACTGGGCTGTCACTGTAACTAACCACGGAGCTCCATGCAGCAGCAGTAGCAATCCCAGCCAGGAATTACACAGGGCTTTAAAAAATCATAATCCTTACAAATGATACAGCATCTTTCACATCCGGAGGACGTCTCAAAGCACTCACACGATCTACTGTAAAGTGCAGAGACTGTATTTTGTAGATGAACGCAGCAGGTAATTTGCACACAGCAATGTGCCACACACAGCCATGGAGTGAGTGACCAATTTTATTTGGGGGATTATTGGCCAGGACACTGGGGAAAGAGAAACTCTCTTGTTTTATTGAATAGTGTTGTGGGATCTTTAATGTCTATCCTGAACAGGCTACCAGGACCTTGGTTTAATGTCTCACCTGATACCTCCATCACTGAATTGGAGTATCCAATTAGACGTTTAATGTGAGTTTAATGTTCCGACATGGGGCTTGAACCCACTACCTTCTGAGGCAAGAATGCTACCAACTGAGCCGGGCTGCCACCTCATAGAGACTTTGGTGAAGTACGCTGATCATTCTCAAGAATTCCTCAGGAATTCTCAGATCGTGGCTGCACCCACAGACTGAAACACAGGTTGTGCTACTTTTCCTACGATCTGAAGGTTTTGTTGTAGATTCCAGCCCTGATCTCCCTCATCCTCACTGCACCAACAACACTTTACACTTTACAACATAATACCTTTCCCATCGGGAAGACATCTCTCAGAGCTTCACATAACTGATTGGCAGCTTGTGCTGGGGAGGGTAAGGGAAAAGTGGCCGAAAGCATGATTGATGAGAGGAGTTTTAAGGCGGGCAGGGAGGGAGGGAGGGGGTGACACAGCGGGAGGGGGGAGGAAGAAGGAGGTGAGGCGGAGGGGGAGGAATGGGGTGAGATGGAGGGAGGGGTCAAGGTGAAGTGAGGGGCAAGGAGGAGAGATACGGGGGGGTATGGTGGAGGGAGCACCAAAGAAACAAGAGAAGACTTCCTATTAAAAGTTTTTTTTTTCTGTTGAACGGGACCTTCAGGACCTTCAACTTGGAGGAGGCTCTACTTGCCATCAGTGACCAGGTCATCAAAGAGGTCAAGAGGTCGCTGTCTGACCTGCAAAGTGCTCCTTTGACAAACGAGACCGAGTTCATCCTGAAAGGCCAAATCAGAAGCATCGCACAGACAGACAATCCCATTCGCACGTTACTTGGTGAGTCTGCGCTGACCCCCTCAACACTTCTCCCCCTCTTTCAGGCCCTCCATTATAGAGAGGGTGGCAGACAATAGAGCGGGTACAGAGGAGATTCACTGGACCAGAACAGAGATGAGAGGTTTCACTAATGAGGAGAGATTGGTAGAACCAGAACTGTCAACTGTCTTTCAAACCCCACAACTGTGCCATGACCCATTCTGCCTTCCACCTCATCTCCCGACTCCGCCACTGTCTCTCCCCTGAGGCTGCTGAGACCCTCATCCATACATTCATCACATTCGCTATCTCGGGTGCTGGTGGCTGTGTGTGTAGCTCAGTGCCTGGTGTTTGACGCTCCGTGTACAGCCTTTCACACTATTTATCTGGTTTGCAGGTAATCGGATGGTGATGTACCTGAGGGATGCGCTGAGCTGTCCGCAGCCTCTCCCAGGGGGCCTGACCCCGGTCCAGGCCGAGCTGCAGGATGTGGCCTCTGCCCTGGGCCGTGTGGTCCATCACAACAGCCTGGTGTTCGGGCCCTATTACTGCAGCATCCTGACTAAGCTGCTGCTCCCTGAGTGCGGCACAGACTCCCGCTGACCTGCTCGCAGACAGGAGGGGCCTCACAACGATGGGGCGGGGAACCAAGTCCAAGACAACAGCGTTTCACAACACCCAATACCCAACAGTGTAACATTTGTAATAGAGAAACATTCCCGGGAAGATAATCCCATTAAATCCTGGGTCAGGGCCAGGCAGGGAAGCTTTTTTTTCCCCTTTTCAAAGCAAAATCCTTTTTTTTCTGGTTTGTGTTTTTTTTTCTATTGAAGGGCATTCCCCCAATTTCGTTCTCTGTGTCTCACACTAGTTTCCTGAGGAGGAGAGGAGAGCAGCAATCTGCCTCAGGAGACAGGCATTACCAGAGAGTCAGTCAGGACTGGGAGTTTCCAATAGACTGGAAGCAAAGAGACGTTATTCCAATGCTAAAAAAAAAAGTGACAGAATCATACCTGGCAACTACAGACTCATTAGCTTTACCTCAATGAGAGTGGAAATGATGGAGTCAATCATCAGAAACTAAATGGAAGATTAACCATAGAAAAATAAGCTAATAATTGACAGCCAACGCAGGTTCAGAAAGGTCTATGACCATAGACTTTTTGAGGAAGTGACAATCCAATTTGATTCTATACAACTATAAACTATGTTGTTAGTTGACCTATCGCTCACTGTGTCAAAACAGTGTGAGGCAGCAATAAACAAGGCAAACAGGATGTCGGGCGAGGAGCTAAATCAGTGGAGTTCAGATCCCCAGACGTCATTGTCAGGCTGTACGTTGCTCTGGTCAGGCCACACCTTGAACACTGCACACGGCTCTGGTCACTGACATAAGGGGCTGCTCAGGCCATAGAGACAGTGCAGAGGAGAGCAACGAGGATGATTCCCAGCGTTAGAGGAATGAGCTGTGAGCAACGACTAGACAACCTCAGGCTCATCAGTCTTGAGAGAAGATGACTCAGAGAGGACCTCATAGAGGTGTATAACATTTTAAATGAGATTGAAAAGAAACCCAGATCATTACTTTAGGATACAGCAAGACAGTAGAACAAGAGTGGAGTCCTGTAGCTCAGTGGTTAGAGCACTCGCTTTGCAAGCGCGAGACCTGAGTTCAATTCCAGGCAGAGGGCGAAACCTTGGGCAAGTTTCCTTACTCCACACAGAGCCTAATAATAATCCCTCCAAAACCAAAAACAATAATAAAATTGGCATTTTCAATCTACGACTGTTTGTGGGACATTGCTGTGCGCAATTGGCTGCCGCGTTCGCCCACAAATTTACAGTCAATTCACTTTACAGTGTGTTCTGTGAAGCGCTTTGGGACGTCCTTCCGACGTGAAAAGCGCTATATCAAATGCAAGGATTATTATTAAGAGGACACAGGTTTAGAGGGGTAAAGGCCAATTTCAGGACAACTGGGACAGATTGCCAGGTGGTTGAGGCCAGGACACTGGGACTCATTTAAAAAGCAGCTTGATGCTATGATGGGGATGGTAGGGTGGGTGTTCTGGACGGATGAGATCAGATGGGCCAAACTTAGGTAGTGCTTTTAACATAATGTCTCAAAGAGCTTCTGCAACTAAGTTATGTTGAACAACAACAACTTGCATTTATATAGCGCCCTTCATGCTGGACGGCGTCTCAGAGCGCTTAAGGTGAACAGTGGAGTCCTGTAGCTCAGTGGTTAGAGCACTCGCCTCACACGCGAGAAATCTGGGTTCGAATTCCCGGCAGGACAAAACCTTGGGCAAGTTTCCTTACTCCACACGCCTGATAATAATCCCTCAAAAAAAAGCACAATAATGAATTAGTCACTTTAATCCACGACTGTTTGTGGGACACTGCTGAGTGCAATTGGCTGCCATGTTTCGCCCACAAAAAAATACAGTCAATTCACTTTACAGTATATTCTGTGAAGCGCTTTGACATGTCTAGAAGACGTGAAAAGCGCTGTATCAAATGCGAGGATTATTATTATAACAGGGGAGAGGCGATATTTGGTGATATTTGAAAGACAGGAGCTAACCGTTTGAAATTTATAAGTTTGTTTGAAAAAAAATTCTGATCAATTTTCCTGATCACAGCAAAATTAACTATCAGCTCAGAACTTTGTTACCAGAGCTCACCAGAAGGTGTCATCAGCCCACTAAAAACATTGAGGCACTCACACCCCAATACACTCACACACTCGCACCCCAATACACTCACATCCGACACACTGACACACTCACACCCCAATTCACTCGCACCCCAATACACTCACATCCGACACACTGACACACTCACACACTGACACCCCAATTCACTCACACCCCAATAGACTCACACCCGACACACTGACACCCCAATTCACTCACACCCCAATAGACTCACACCCGACACACTGACACACTCGCACAATGACACCCGAATACACTGACACCCCAATACACTCACACCTGACACACTGACACCCCAATTCACTCACACCCCAATAGACTCACCCCCGACACTCGCACACTGACACACTCACACCCCAATTCACTCACACCCCAATACACTCACACATTGACAAAGTGACACACTCACACCCCAATACACTCACACCCGACACACCTCGATGCACTCACACCCTGACGCTCACATACCCTGACACACTCTCACCCTGAGTGAGTGTGTCGGGGCGTGAGCCTCAGTGTATATGACACCCTGCCCCACAATCAGCAGTCGGGCCTTCAGCCTCTCCGCCAACACCCTCTGGAACTCCATCCCGGAGCCCATACGCCCCCACCCTCCCTTGCCTCCTTCAAGGCCCGTCTCAAGACCTTCCTCTTCAATAACGCCTTGGTCATTCTTCCCTCCACCCCTCTAGACTCCAGCCCGCAGCTCGGAAGCAAACCCTTGACTATCCAGCGCCTTGGGGCGTCCTCCCTAAGTGAAACATGCTACATAAACACAATTTGTTGTTGTTAAAGAAGAATTGCAAAACTAATGAGCTTCCCAAATTGCAGTATAATCAGCGATATCTGTGCCATTGATCTTTCTGATTGATTTTAGTGCCTGTCTCGGTCGCCTCATGTTTATAAATACATCGTCCGTTTCTAACTCTGTATGATGACTTTTATAGATCGTTGATCATGGACTTGCGAGGGGCTGTACATACTTACTGTTGGTGGGAGGGAAGGTTTGTAACCCAAACTGTGTGGCTTAAACTGGGAGAAATGGTGCATTGTATAAAATCGTGGCTTTTTTTAAACTTGGAAAACAAGATTGATGTTTTTATTGCGTCTCTCAGGGTTTGTGGGTCACACATCGTCATCCCCTGAAATGATAGGCCCACGATGGGGACGTATATGTCTCTGCTCCTCCCCTCACTCTCCCAGGCTCGGTCAAGTCTCCTAGTGAGAAGCGTCTGGGCACAGGGTACAATATGGGCCGCGGGGCAGGGGGAAAGCCACAGTGAGTCAGTCGTTGTGGGAGCCGCCTGTCATCACACAGAGCGACAGGGATCCGGGTCAGGAGTGCTGTCTGCACTCCCTCAGGCTGTGCGCGAGCCACAGGCTCGACAGAGGGGCAAACAGACAAACACTGCAAATTACACAGCTATTCCTACAGAGCGCACAGTCACCACTCTCTACAGTAAATCCTGTGAAGCGCTTCGAGACAACAACTTGCATTTGTACGTCGCCTTCACGTGGGGCAGTGTCTAACAACGCTTAACAGCGGCTGAACCAAAAAAGAGGGGGGAGGGGAGCAGTCAAAGAGGAAGGTGCGATTTTAAGACGGGCAAAAAAAGGGGCAAAAGGCAGAGGGATTGAGGCGGAGAGTTCCAGCAGTTTGAGGCGTAGTGGCTGAAGGAATGGCCGCTGATGGTGGAGCGGAGGGCACGAGGGATGTGTTGAGGCCCGAGCTGGCGAGCGGATAAGGGGAAGGGGAGTGAGCAGGTGGGGAAGTGCCAGTGATTTGGAGGTGAGTGCGAGGATCTTGATATCAATACATTCTGCGACAGAGATGTCCTCCCAACAAGAAAGCCGTTGAATAAAATGCAAGGATTATAATTATTTATTCTTTGTCAAGGGTCCCAGTGCCTGCAGTATCAGTCGGCCCTTAATGTTTACTCATGTGAGAGAAATCCAATCTCTCCGACGAGAAAGCGTATTAAACCCATTAGTTTATTCCACTGAAAGGTTCTCATAGATTTATTGCTAATTCCAGTGGACGTGACCGGAGGGAATAGAAGCTTTTGCACAGTATCTGCCCTGGTCTGAGCTTATTCACAGTGAACGAGGAGCTGAGGCTGACTGGACACGCAGGCCAGGCATTTAATCAACATGTGACTTCTAGATTGTTTTGTTTGCAAGCCTCCAATCTCTCAATTTGTTGCCTTAACCAGCGAATTTTATCATTCGTTCCCAAGTTGTTGTTATTTGGAGCTTAGACCGTCTTGTCTTCATGATCTACATTGCCACTTACGGTGCCTTGGTTTATTTCAGTTGTAACAATTGCTCTGCCTCCTGCCGGAGGCTGTAAAATTTTGTTGCAGTTTGTTGGTTCCCCTGGTCTACTTGACCGACGTTCTGGGGCATAATGCCCAGGTTTCCCGCAATCATAACAAGTTCCTGGTCTTTTCTTGGACCCTGTCCATGCCCCATTCTAGGAGCGACTTCTGTTTTTGTTTTCAGATTTCCAGCATCTGCAGTATTTTGTGTTTTATTTTTCCATCCATATCAAACCTGTCACAGAACCCAAACACACAGACCTCAACTTCCCTTTCTTGTCCAAGTTTTAAAACACATTCCTTACGATCAATCAAGATATTACTCTCAGTCCTGACACACACCCTGGGTATCAAACAATGATTTTAACCATAATCTGACTATAGTAGAGTAATACACTGTATAGTAATACCCACACGCTATATAGTAATACCCATACCTCCTAAATACTCTGGAGCAACTACAACCTTGGGAAGTTTTACTAAGTGTGTTTAAATACAGCCATACAAAGCACCCAGTTCAAGGTGTCAGCCTGGCTCAATTGACAGCACTTTTGCTTGTGGGTCAGAAGGTTGTGGGTTCAAGTCAAGATTTTGAGCTCACAGTCCAGGCTGACGCTCTAGTACAGCATTGAGGGAGCGAAACATTGTTGGGGGCCATCCTTCGGAGGGTCTTCTGTGCTACTCTAGGTGGACTGAAATATGGATAGAAAGCACATTCTCCCGGCCCAGTCTCAGTAACATTGCTCCTCTCGTAAACCGGAGGTTGTCAGGAGTATAGATTGTCTCCTCTCCGGTCATTGGCTGCGAAAATGCAGTGGTGGTTCTATAATTAGGGTCATTAAGGCTTCTATGGGATCGGGATTGCTGAGCCACGGGGGGAAAACGACTGACAAGAGATGTCAGGGTTTCATTATCAGTGTTCTTCTTCCAAGGACAGTGCAATTATTCATGGGTAAATGAACCGTTGTGCGTACAGGAGCGCTCCCTGATCACACACTGCTACCCAGTCTGTTAATCCTGCACACCAAAGCCAGAGCAGGCTCTGAGCTGCCCAAACAACAGGAAGCTTCACAGCATTCACACCGGCAAGCTGTGTGATTTTCGTGGTTAAACGCCAACACACGCTCTGGGGTCCACTGGTCTTGTCTCCGTCGCCCCCGTACTCACTCGCACAAAATATCGTACCCCCATCACACCAGTCCTTGCCGGGCTCCACTGGCTCCCAATTACCGAATGGATCGATTTCAAGATCCTCTCACTCATTTTCAAATCCCTTCATGACCTCACACCTCCCTACCTCTCCGATCTGCGTACCCCCTTCTCCGCTGGGCTGGCTCCGGCCTCCTGTTTGTCCCTCATGCTCTTCCGCTCCACCGTCAGTGACCGTGCCTTCAGCCACTACGCCCCGAAACTCTGGAACTCAATCCCTCCGCCTTGCCTCCTCCCGCCCCACTTTCAGAAGCCACCTAAATACCATCCTTTTTGATCGTGCTTACAGTCATCTCTCACCTCCCTCTCTCCATGGCTCTGTGACAAACTCCGCCACTGTCAAGCGCTCCGGG